TCAGATACCTCTAATGGTAGAAACTCTAATAATTTCAATAATTCATAATTTTATGGGCGATTCTAATACTTTTGAAGAAAAAACAAGTACCCTACTACACAATCTAAGATGTCCCACTTTAGGAGATTTTAGATGGTATGTAGATAATTTTATAATTATGGTAATGACTAGAACATATTGTAAAGAAACCTTTTGGAAAGAAAGATTTATTGCGGGACTACCCCCAGTATTCGCCACAAAAGTAAGAGAAAAATTAGCTCAAAAATACCCGGAACCATTACAAGACATAACATACGGAAAAATAATTTCAACCATTAAAAATACTGCTTTAGAAATATGTAATAATCTAAAATTAGAAAAACAAGTTAAAAAACAACAAGAAAGTGGTACTAAAGAATTAGGAGATTTTTGTATACAATATGGATATGAACGATTAGATCCCCCGTCAAGAAAAATTAAAAAACAAATAATTAAGAGAAAATTCTCTCAGAATAATAATAGAAAAATCTCTAGAAACTCTAAAAGAAATATAAGAAAGCCCCCATCTACAAATAATAATCAATATAATCCAAAGAAAGGAATAGTTTGTTATAAATGTGGAAGATATGGACATATGAAAAAAGATTGTAGAGTAAAAGAACGAATACAAAACCTAGAAATGAGTGAAGATACAAAAAATCAAATAGCAAAAATATTATTATGAGTCAGAAGAAGACATTAATAATTTAATAGAACCAAGCAGTAGTGAAAATGAACCTACTACAAGTGAAGATGAAAATGAAGAAAATTGTGATTGCATATTTAACATAAATGTTTTAACCACTGAAACTAGAATAGCTCTAGAAATGGTAGATAAACTTCCCAATGAAGAAGATAAGCTAGAATATCTAACTAAATTAAAAACCTTAATATTAAGTGAAAAAGAAACAGAAACCGTACAAAACGAGGTAAGTGGTTATGACTTTTCTAAAATATTACGTAAAGCCATAAATAAAGAAAAACACTGTAAACGTACAAGATTTACAAAAAGAAATAAGCCTTTTAAAAGAAGAAATTAAAGAAATAAAAATTCAATTAGTAGAATTAAAAATAAAAAATGAAATACAAGAGGAAAAAAATTATAAATAATGAAGAAAGTTTAAAAAGCTGAATCAACCTCCGAAACGGTTAATCAACTAAAAATTTTACAACAAAAATGGCATATAAAAGCTACATTAAAAATTGGAAATAGTTTTCATAAACAATTTACAACTTTGGTAGATTCTGGAGCTGATATAAATTGTATAAGAGAAGGATTAATACCTACAAAATTCTATGAAAAAACTCTACAAACCCTAAGAACAACCAACTCGAAAAACTAAAAGTAAAATATAAACTATCAAATGTCGAGTATATGTAATAAAGGAACTTGTTTAAAAAATACTTTTATATTAACTCCTGACATTAGTGAAGAAATGATATTAGGAACCCCATTTTTAGCATTAATTTACCCTTTTGAAGTATCCGAGCAAGGAATAAAACATAAAAATCTTTTATTCGAATTTATTAAACCAATAAAAAATAAAGAAATACAATTAGTAACAGATGTAAACGAAGAAAATTTTCTATTAAAATTAGAAGCAAAAAAATACCCATATAAAATATTTAAAACAAGAAATAGCACATAAAAGAATAGAAGAACAGTTAAAAAATCCTGAAGTAATTACTTCCTTTAAAAATATAGAACAAGAAATTATAAAAGAAGTATGCGCTGAGGTACCTACTGCCTTTTGGAATAGGCACACTTTCGAAATAGAATTACCCTATGAAGAAGGATTTTTAGAAAAGAATATTCCTACTAAAGCTAAACCAGTACAACTAAATAAAGAAACGCTAGAATACTGTAGAAAAGAAATAAAATCTTTTTTAGATAAAAAGCTGATTAGACCCAGTAAATCTCCGTGGAGTTGTGCTGCATTCTATGTGCAAAATGCCTCCGAAATAGAAAGAGGAGAACCACGAATGGTAATAAATTATAAACCCCTAAACAAAGTGTTAAAATGGATTAGATATCCACTACCTAATAAAGCTGAATTAATAAGCGAGAATTTATAAAGCCACTATATTCTCTAAATTTGATATGAAAAATGGATATTATCAAATTAAATTAAAAGAACAAGATAAATATAAAATCGCTTTTATTGTACCTTTTGGATTGCCTATGGGTTTAAAAAATGCACCGATCAGAATTTCAAAAAATAATGAATGATATACTAAACCCATATTCAAAATTTGTCATTGTTTACATTGACGATATATTAATATTCTCTGAATCAATAGAACAACATAAAAAACATTTAAGAATATTTAAAAATATTATAAAAAATAATGGAATGGTAATATCACAAAAGAAAATAAAACTAGCTCAAACTCATTAGGTTTTTAGGACATGAAATAGATAAAGGAACTATAACACCTATTAAAAGAAGCATTGAATTTGTAGAAAAATTTCCTGATGAAATAAAAGATTAATTACAATTACAAAGATTTTTAGGATGCTTAAACTATGTATCAGAATTTATACCTAACATTCGAATATTATGTAAACCTGTCTTTAATAGATTAAGAAAAAATCCTAAACCCTGGACCACAAAAATGACTAATATAGTAATAGAAGTCAAAAAATTAGTAAAAACTCTACCCTGCCTAGGAATACCTAATCCCGAGGCAAAAATAATTATAGAAACGGATGCATCTGATATAGGATACGGAGGAATACTAAAACAACATTTACCTAATACTCCCGAACAAATAGTAAGATACTATTCAGGAATATGGAATGAAGCTCAAAGAAATTATAGTACTATTAAAAAAGAAATTTTAAGCATAGTTTTGAATATACAAAATTTTTAACATGATTTAATAAATAAAAAGTTTTTGTTAAGAATCGATTGCAAATCTGCCAAAGAAGTTTTAGAAAAAGATGTAAAAAATATAGTTTCTAAACAAATATTTGCTAGATGGCAAAACTTATTATCTTGCTTTGAATTTGATATAGAATTTATAAAAGGAAAATAAAATTCAATTCCAGATTTTCTAACAAGAGACTTTTTGCAGGGCCATTCCCATGGCAACCCCCTCAAAAAAACCTAATACCCCAGAAAAGAATAAACCTGAAAATCCTAAGTCATCTACCCTATCTCTAGATGACTTTGCCCCTTCTTATTCAAAAACCATAACCACCCGAAAACTTCCTACTTCCATCACAACTCTCCCTAATAGATTTACTCCATTAACTCCTCAAAAACCTCAGAACATTTCTCCAGAAATAACCCCGAAAAAAAGAATTTCATATCAAAGAAGGATGCCAGAAAATAATTACTCTAGAAGAAGACTGGAATGCAGAAGATGTATACGGAATACTTAAAAGAGTAGCTCCTATAGGATGGAGCTGGATACCTAGATCGGAAAATTTAAAGAAAACCAAAAAATTTTATCAATTTATTTTAATAGATACTGGTTCAGCCGAAATAACTCTCATCCCTAATGATAGAGATCCCTCTATTATTAGCTACTCAAAATTAAGAATCATCAAAATAATTTCCTACCCAGAATGGAATCAACATCCATTCACTGATAAGAGCTTTTCGAGGCCCTTTGACCCTCCATCATACAATTACTTTGATTACCAAGAAGCCTGGAATAAAATTCTCTTTGATACCAACCCTAGGCATTCCTGGTACATCTGTTTTAAAAAATAAATACCAAACTCCTTACCGAACTGGTTTATTGACTGGTTCCATCAAATAGGTCCCGTTCAATCAATAATCCCCGAAAAAGTCATGAAAATCTACCAGAAATACAAAACCCTCACCCCTCAATACCCTCCATATCTTAGAATTATAAAGTTCTGTTCAACCATGGGAATAAGTTGGCTTTTGGCCCACATTCCCGAAGTCCATCAGCATAAGGACGAAACTTATCCAAAAACCCTTTGCCTAAAAACCAAAGTTTTTTGGTGGAAAAAATTTGAAGTCCAATATGTTGAAGAAAAATTCGAAAACTGGAGAAAAATGGGTCTCATCAGTCGAACAGGCCCAATACCTAAAGAAAACCCTTCCATAAAAGACAAGGGAAAATCCATAATAGATTTGTCACAAATCCCCTCCTCAAAACTAGAAAAGGCCCAACTAAAACAAAAAATGCTCGAAGCCTTATCCTCTTTGGGCTCAGACGAAGAAGAAGAAGAAGAAAACGAAGCCATAATTAACATTCAAGATGCACAAGACCCATATGAAGACGAAGAAAATGTAGATTTTGATCAGTTCTAGCAACCAATTACATTCTATGATAAAGAAATGCAAAGAAGAATTCAGAATATCATGAAGTTCGCCAAAAAAGAAGTGTACAATAGAATTCAGAATATCATGAAAAAGTTAGAAAAGGACCCCCTTGAGATATCCTTCTAAGAAAAGCATCTGAGTAAGAAGTTGGGCTTATCTGGCCCATCGCCCAAAAGATGCAATAGTTCTCAGTCCAGAAGAAATAACAGTAGATTTCTACAACCAGAAAAAGGGACCCACAAAGTGGAAAAAAGAGTCATGTAATTTTGTTTTTAGTGTCGGCCACCGAAAGTAAAGGTGTGCCAGTTGTAATTATCTTTTCATTTGTCAGCCACTTGTGCCAGCTGTATAGTTAATAGGGAACTCTTAAGAGTCTATAAAAGAGTCAGTTGTCGAAGTAGAATTTACAGCTCTCTTAGAGCCTTAAACTCTACCTTCCTTGACCAACTCCTTCATAGCCTAAGTTCCCAGCCTTCCCTTGTATCCCTCTGCGAATATTGTAAATATTGTAAGATTTCAGAAATATAACTGTTTCTTCTCTTTCTTCTCTTTCTCTTTCTCTTCCGCTTTATATATGCTATATATATATATATATATATATATATATATATATATATAAAGTTGCATGGAAGTTGTTGCTAGACTATTACAACCTTTGCTATACCTTACTTAATCTGATTATTCTCTTAAGTTTACTCTGCTCGAAACCACATCCTTTCCATGAATGCACTTTGGTATTTGTACTTCCAAAAATCTTGCATTACGTATGAGAGCTTCAATGATCTCCAAGTCTGCTTCTTCTGGGACCTCTAGCCTTCGAACATATCCATATTCCCACCAATGGCCACACCTCCAATCACTTGCCTTTGACTCTTTTTGTGGCTTCCACTCTCCACTAATCTCCACAACCTTCCCATTATCAACATGGACTTCAATGTTACTCATCCCAGTTTTTGTTTTAACAAAATCACAAGTGTTGTATGTTTACTTTTTTACTAGTCAACCACTTTTCAGTCATCCCATTCACAACTCCATTCAAAACAATTATTTTGATTTTTAGAGATAAAAAAAAATTTATAGGAACGAAAATCAAAATAAACTTATTTTACATGTGTATTTGTTTTGGGGTTTGAAACTTATACCCTTGTTTCATATGTGAAACATTATAACTACGAAGTAGCATTAAACCGGACTAAAAATACATATTTTTAAAAGTGAACTGCTATTCTCATTTTCAAATATTTGATCTTGCTAAAGAAAATTTTGATAGAAGGGTGGGGTTTCTCTTATTTCAACAACATATAAATTTCCTCCAAGATATAAAATTGTTCTGTTCTTATAATTTGCAGATTTTAAAAAGGATGGGTTATATGACTTGTTTAACACACATTCAGATTATAAAACTGTAATTGGTGGGTGAAATTGCAAAACTTTGTGGTACCTGGTATTTCTGCCTTTAACATGTAACCTTCATTTGTTTGATACCATAACTTTTTTAGTTTTGTTAAACCAGCTGCAAGAGTAATGAGACCATATTGAAGATGGATGTTACAAAGAAATAATCAATTCGGGATTATAACTAAAGAATTCAGAAATGGTGTTGATGGTTTTATTCAAATAACGACAAGAAACCCAAAATTTGCTGATGTAGCAGGGGTATTCCTTGCCCATATGGAAAATATAGGAATCGTTATTGGGATGTATTATTTAATGTGGAAAAGCATTTGTATCACCATGGATTTATGGATGGTTACACAAATTGGATCCTTCATGGTGAGGAAATATGGACCGATGATGTATCAACTTCTGTCTTTCAAGAACATAATGAGGATAATAGAAGTCCATATGTTAATATGGTTATGGATGCTGCTTATGTTAGATTAAATCCAAAAGTAGAAGAGGTGCAAGAGGACCCAAATCCATCAACTAAGAAGTTTTTTTAACTATTAAAGGATGTTGATAAACCTTTATGGGATGGTTGTAAGAAGCATACAAAGTTATCAGTCGTAACACAACTGTTAAACCTGAAGTCAGAGTTTAACATGAGTGTTAATTGTTATGATCAAATGATTGCTATAATCAAAAGCATGCTTCCAGATTCAGAAAGGTTGCTTGAAAATTTGTATAAATTGAAGAAAATGGTTAATGATTTGGGATTAGGAAATGAAAAGATAGATGCATGTCCTAATCATTACATGCTATATACAAAGAAAATAGTGACAAGAATGTTTGCTTGGTGTGTAAAGAACCACGATTTAAACCAAAGACATCTTCAAAAAGTAAAGATGTGCCTTACTCAGTATTGAGATATTTCCCCATTGTTCCAAGACTATTCATACTTCAAAATATATGCGTTGGCATGTAGATGGAGTGCGCCAAGATGAATCAATGATGACACATCTAGCTGATGCACAAGCTTGGAAAATATTCAATTTGCATAGATTGTTTTAATCCATTCAGTAATTCAGGTAACCCATATTCATGTTGGCCTGTTTTTGTCACACCTTACAATCTTCCTCCAAGTAGGTGTATGAAAAGGTAATTCATATTTCTTACTCTTGTGATTCCTAGACCCAAGTCACCTGGTAAAAGTTTAGATATTTATTTGGAACCACTAATTGATGAGTTGAAAATCTTATGGAACATTAGGGTTAACACTTTTGATGCATTGAAAAGGCAGAATTTTATTATGAAAGCAACTTTAATGTGGACAATAAGTGATTTTCCAGCTTATGGAATGTTGTCTGGATGGAGTACTCATGGGAGATTAGCTTGTCCACATTGTATGGGGATATTAAATCATTTAGATTGAAAAATGGTGGTAAACCTTGTTGGTTTGATTGTCATCATCGATTTTTGCCTATCAATCATCCATTTCGTCATGATCGATGCTCTTTTAAGAAGTTGGTAGTTGACAACTCTTTACCACCACAAGAATTGACTGGCATAGATGTATTAAATATAGTGACTCAACTTCATAAAATTATCTTTGGCTTAAAATCAGGCAAGCAAAAGCAACCCGACTTTGGTAAAACCCATAATTGGGTTAAGAAGAGCATATTTTGGGAATTGCGTTATTGGTCAACTAATATAGTTCGACATAATTTGGATGTTATGCATATTGAAAAAAATGTGTTTGACAACATCCTTAACACTGTGATGGACATAAAGGGAAAGATGAAAGATATTGCAAATGCAAGACAAGATTTGAGATTGATATGTAAATGTCCTAGATTAGAGCTGGTGGTGGAAAATGATAATTATAAAAAACCAAAGGTAATATATGTCTTGAATTATGAACAAAGAAAGATGGTGTGTGAATGGATAAAACAACTAAAATTTCCAAATGGGTATGCATCTAACATATCACATAACATTAATGTAAATGAACGGAAAAAATGGGATGAAAAGTCATGATTGTCATGTTTTTATGCAAAGACTAATTCCTTTGGCATTTCGTGACATGTTGCCAAAGCCTATATGGGGTGCATTAACAGAACTTAGTTTTTTTTTAAAAGAGATTTGCACGAATGCAGTACATCCTTCTGTCATGGACAATGCTAGGAGTTCTATCATTGAAACAATTTGTAAGCTTGAAAAAAAATTTCCACTAGCATTCTTTGATTCAATGGAATATTTGGTTATACATCTACCATATGAAATGAAGGTTGGAGGGCCTATGCAATACAAATGGGTATATCCATTTGAAAGATGCATGTTGTATTTGAAAAGAAAGGTTCACAATAAGGAAAAGGTTGAAGGATATATATGTGGAGCATATATTTTGGAAGAAATTTATAATTTTTCTTCAATGTATTTTGATCCCTATATTCAAACAAGGCGTACTCAAGTTTCTCGTAATGATGATGGTGGTGAAGATAGAATTTCTGAGAAGTTGTCTATTTTTAAACACCCTTGTTGTCCTATTGGTAGAGGTCATAAAAGAATATTAATAGAAGAAGAGCTTCATATTGTTGAGACATATGTCATTGTAAATTGTAAAGAAATGGAACCATATCTAAAGTAAGTTTTCTTCATAATTACATTTTTTATTCAATTCAATTTGTTACAATATTAATTGTTGTATCAATTAGAAAATTCGAAGATTCACTAAAGAATGAAAATCCCAATATCTCTGAGGATGAAATATTGGTATCTCGAGATCAAGTTTTTAATAGGTGGTTAAAACATCAAGTGAGTCTTTCTCCATAGCAATCTATAGTGTTTTGAAATTCTCTTTGTAATGAGTGATGTACTTACGTGTTTTCTCTTTGTAATTCTCTATAGGTGAGTACATGTCAAGTTAAGGATCGGTTAATTCGAGAGATAAGTTATGGTCCAATTAAGATTTTGACTTCTTATAATGGTGTAATAGTTAATGGATATAGATTTCATGCAAAGGAGTACGAAACTAATAAATCCACCATGAACAGTGGGATATTTGTTAGAGGAAATATATATGGTGAAAATGATTTGGACTATTATGGTATTGTTGAAGAGATATTAAAATGTCTTACCTTGGATATCAAAACAAAGTAATTATTTTACGTTGCCATTGGTTTGATCCTTTTCATGGTGTTAAAGTTGATGACATATATGGCTTGGTTGATATCAAGCATAAATCAAAGCTTCAATCAAATGAGCCATTTGTATTAGCTCAACAGGCTCAACAAGTGTATTATACAAGATACCCACAAAATAGGAGTAAAAATAATGGTGATTGGTGGGTAGCTTGCAAGGTTAGAGCAAAATTATTTATGATTGAGACATTGAAGAATGAAGATGAAATGAGAAAATTGTTACTGATTATTTTCAAGATGATGGATCAATGAGAATGCCTAATATTCTTCCTAATTATGAGGATATACAATTGTTTGATGCAAATGCCCCAATAGAAGAAATAAACATGGACGATGTTAATTATTCAATGAATAATGTTCACGATGTTGAATTCATAAATGATGATGATGAGTTTATGGATGAAGAGATGGAGTTAGATGATTTAGATGATGAGTTAGATAATTCAAGTAATGATTTAGACAATTCAGACGAGGAGTGATTATGAATGAATCATCTTAAATTTATTTAATGGTAGATATGTTATGTTTAAATTAAATTAATTATTTCTTTAATTCATTGTATTTCTATGTGTAGAAACTCAAATGCCTCCTCGAGGAAGAGGGCGGGGTCGAGGTTTTATTACTCCATTTCATCCTTCTCAATCTCGCATTAATCCTCCAGAACTTGATTCTATTTTGCACTCACCATGTATAGTACAAATACTTGAATGCTATTTTATTTATTAACTTTTAAATTATTTGAATATAATGTATTGTTCATTGTTCTTGTCTTAGCTGCTACTTCCATCCATGAACCATCAATTGAGGTTGGCCAATCAACTAGTGGTTGTCAATCAACAACCACCATCCCACCAATTGATGCTGACCAATCAAATGTTGTCCCAACGTATGATAACCCACAATCTACAGAGGAGCCTTCAAGTGAAAATTCTCATAATGAAGTTGATAGAAGACTTGTTATATTTGTACAACGAGTTAGTAACCCGAAAGTGGAACTAAACTTAATTACTTGTTATTCATATTTATATTACTAAATCATAATAATTTATACATTGATAATTTTAAATTGTAGGAAGAGGTTTGTTCCTGATTCAGTAACTTGAGATATTATATGAGTTACTTATGAGAATGTCAAATCCAACACCAAATTGGAAAAATTATTCTGTTGATATGAAATAAAATTTATTCAATGATTTCATGGTTAGTAATTATTGTGTTAAAATACTTAAATAGTTTTGCTTTAACTTTTGTATTAAATAATAAATTTATCTAATTTTTATTGGTGTAGAACAAGTATCGTTTTGCATCAACTTATATCAGAGTATGGCAAGAAAGATTTGGAATCTGACATGCATGGATCGATGT